CATTACGTTCGTTAGGTCTGAGTTTACAGGGATTGATTTAGTGCTTAGAGGTCATCTGGGTGACTTGGAGTATCCAGATAATATTTTTGTGCTGGTTGAAGATGTTGACGGAATGCGGGCTTTTGTGAATGCGTTGAGCAGAAATCTGAATATGTTTGGCATGGGTTTTTGTGGGACGTGTGAAATGTAAGATGATGCTTGAGGAGTGGCTTGCAACGACTCTCAGTTTAATGATAGGGAGTGGCGTGGTGGAATGTGTTGATCGCTTCACTCACCTGGGGAGTTGCATTGGGTGAATGGTTTCAAGGAATTCTTGGCTTCGTTGATGAATCTAGCGTGTATCGACTCACTCCATAACAAATATCTGTCTAATTGAAGGGAACTATAAGTGGTCGGGTTACTTTAAGTTCACTGGAATTTACTCGATTGATTTCCAGAGTGGATCGTTTGACGTTGCAAGGGTTTCGGACCATCAGAATATTCCAAATTGTTCTTGCTGCTTGGAAGTCGTCATTGGCCTTGTGATTACTGTGAGTTGTGTGGTAGCAAATCTAATGGTAAACTGGGAGGATCATCACTTCTACTGTGGTTATGATGTTTAGGTCTTAATCGATTTACGTGTCTTCTCCAGATTTCTGAGCCAATTTGTTCTTCGCAAAGTACTATCTGAATACTCTTACTAACTACTAATCTTTACCCTGTTAGGTTCTGACCATAACTTTGTCCCCAGGTGGGGATGTAGGTAGCATAAAGGCAAAAACAGTTCTCATTCGGCAACGAAACGTGCACTCTGCAGGAGATTTCCTGTTCGGTCTGTTGTGATTTGGAGTGCTTCTGTAATTTACAAGAAAACTGTTGTGATGGTGTTTGCCACCATTAGTAAACCAATGCCAATCCTTCTCCTTCCCCTTTCAATAGACTCCGTTTATATGTATCCACAAATGTTTCTACCTGACCATTCAGTTGTGGGTGGTTTGGTGGGAAGTGTAAGTACTGGGCTGCATTTTATCTGCAAAAAGTTGACAGTACTACTGAAGTAAGTTGTGTATCGATTTCCGTTATCATGGCTTCAGGAGAGCCGAAGCAGCTCAAAGACTAGACAGTTTGGTGATTGTAGCTTCCGGCGTGCATTTTGGCCTGTAGGAAACTCTACGCTATTTGCTATGTGCATTCACGATAATAAGGTACGTTTCACTTATCATTGGCCCGGAAGAATCAATATGGAGTATTTGCCATGGAGTTTGGTCATCGGTCATGGGTGTGGGGGGTGTTTTGGTGGACTTCTTGCTGCTAAGGTGCAATTAAGATAGATCTGACATGTCTCTTCGATTTCTCGATTCATTCTTTACCAATATGCATAACTACATGCCAGTGACATCATTCTAGTCATACTCGGATGGCCATTGTTGAATTGGTTTAGCACATTTTGGTGAATACTCTAGGTCTACAATTCTGTCACCAAGCATGATAAGTGAATCCGCAGTTGACAGTGAGTCGCAGCGGTGATAGTATTGTTTATGATTTTGAGTGTGCTGAGATTTTGGCCACTTCATCTTGTCTCTTTCTGTAGTCGCTTTGATATTCTCAAAAGTCACTGATAAGCTAAGTAATTAATCTTCTAGGAATTTTCGAACTTCAGTTTGACTTCCACAACTGGGATCAGCGAATGCCGGTCCACTACCTATCTTGACGTGCCATGTTAGGGTATGTTGGAGTAGGTTGCAACAGTGATCAGAGTGGCCAGACCAAGACGTGACCCCAGTTAATGTGGTCTCTTACTGTTGGTGTGAGTCGTGTGGGGGAAACGTGGACTAACTGGTTGGGGTCGCCGGGACAAAATAAATGGGTGGTTGTGGATTTTTGGTGAGATTGTTGAAAATTGGTCACAATGTCGTATATATATTCACTTTTTGACTTTTTTAAGGCTGGGATGTTTGCACTAACCATCTTTTTTCATACAACTTTGTCTACCTTGATGACTCTTTTTCTATCCACTTTTCTTTGTGTAGTACTGTGAAGTGTGGCGAATTGAGCCGATGCATTTTTGTGTGTGGTTTTAAGTTCATTTTGCCAGTCAGTTAGTCCGTAATTAATAAAAGGGAATCAGATATAATCCGTTCTGACTGGTCTCAATCTCTGTTTGTCTCAGTCTTCAAGAAACGTCTCAAGTCCGTTTGTGATAACCACAGGAGGAATCAGCTTGACGAACATGGTGTCTAAGATTCTGGGTTCTTTTATCATTAGATATCTGAATAGAGTTTTGTATCAGCAGACGCGGGAAAAACAGCCAGTTTTCAGACCCTGCAGTGCGTGTACCGAGCAGATATTCACGCTCAGCCAGATTCTGAAACTCAGACACATCGGCGTTAGTCACTAGGTGTATTTCTTTATTGAAGGCTCTGTACTCAATCACGAGTGGGCGTGTTAGAGCCTATGTTGTGTTGTATACGTTTAGTGATGCCCGTCAAGGATGTCCACTACCTCCATTGTTATTCACTTTTATCATAAACATGCTAATAGAAGCTTCCCTTCCGTTGTCACTTCACAAGAGTTGATCTAATCACAGGAGACTTCTCTGTAGGTCCGAAGTACGCAGAAGATATAGTTTTGTTTAGTGAGGACACTGACAAGATGCAGAGTTTTCTACATACCTTAGTGACAATTTGGAAATGTTTGGGTGCGTTTCTCACTACCCGAATGCGAACTACTTCTACAGGACTGGTCTTCATTGGTCCCCAGTCTAACAATAGCGATTAAAATGGTTGAGCGCGCTGACCACCTTACTTGGGAAGTCGGACCAGCTGTGGTGGATCAGTGGCTGACATATTCTGTACACCGTTACGAAAGTTTCTATTGACTTTCGCTAACTTATATGTTAAGGGCCGAGCATTCTGCGCTGCATTTCACTTTTTTTTACCGTATTGCTGTGAAAAGTGACCATTAAAGGTATGGAATATGAGAAGGCTATAGGTATTTGACCACTGCTGCCTTCATAGCATAGGCCGTCTGTCCTGGAACCGGCACATCAGGGATGCAGAAGTCTGGTGTAGAGTTTTAGAGACGAGAGAAAAGCGGGTTACGAACCTTCAGCGACTGAGGTGACTGGGGTTTGTGTTAAGCATACCTACTTACCATCTGCCCCTCTAGTATTAGTTAAAGTAGGTTTCGGTTGGCTAAAGGTTAGGGGATCTCCAGACTGACAGGGCATCATTTTATAAAGTCTTTGACTGCTGGTCTGAGCCGTATAGGAGAATGGACACTTCTCTGTTGACTTCCGTGCGACAAGAGGAACTAGTGTTTAGGGACGCTGGGTAATATTACTGAGAATAGATCCTAATGACCCAGGTGTATCCACACCGTATCCTCATCTTAGTTGTTATACTGAATTCAATGTTTGCTAATTCTTCCTTATTATCTCGTCATGACTTTCTCCCACGTTTGGCTGCTTTGTCTATTATCTTTCAGCTTAGTGTGTTAACGCTTGATGAGGCTATATAAAGTGTGGCAACTTGGAGAGTTATGCAGTAATACCTGGTCCTGTGATGTTGTTGATGACTGAAGCAGTATCGGCACATTATATATTTCAAAATTTTTGCATGAACAGCTTATCTCTGTTACCCCTCTTCTCTTCAGTTGACGAATCCCTTAAGGTTAATAGCTGTTAACGTGAGCTGTAATAGGTTGAATATTATATCCTGCATATAAACTGTGAACTAATTTGGATTTTTAATATGGGATTTTGCAACCACATGACTTGTTGGCCAAGCATATGCACTTCATTCTCATGTCTTTATTTTCCTGTTGTTTCCCGTTCATCGATTTCTGTTTTTAAAGGTTTATCATATTCCATTTTTTCGAACCCATTAGGCGTTCTTACTAAATCGATCGGAATTGTCGATGTAGACTCATGACTTAGTGTTCAAAGCATTCAATTGCTAACTATGTGGTACATTTGTGAAGCTAATGTGCATACTTAAATTTAGCAAACTGTCATTATTGGGATTCACAATAAGCATGACTTAATCCTACTGAAAAAAATGTGTACTATGGCTTTCGTAAAAAATGTGACCTTTGTTGAAACATTTAAGTCCTAATTCTTCATTTAGGCCGCTGTAGTATTGACTACATACAGAGGTGTTTAAGATTTTCTCCATTTGCTTTTTCTTATACCATATCACGTTCCATCCTTGGATCATTTTAAGGCGTTAAAGTGAGTGGTTTATGAATTCGAGTCATGGTTACCAATCTTAGTTATCTTCATCCACTTGGTAGTAGTAGTGCTTATCTGGTCATATTAAAAGCTTGCACCTCAGACAAAAGCATTGTGCACAATCTCAGATACAATCTAACCGCATCTTCTTGTTGTCGATTGTCACCAGTGTTTATGAGTAGTAGTCCATTCCCTTTTTTTTAAAACTTTAATTTGCGTATATTTCAGAGTTCACTATAAACTTTCACGTTTTTGATTTGCATCTCTTTTGTTGAGAGCAAATATGACAGTTCTGTTGAACACAGAAATGAGTGCATGAAATATTATTAATATTTGGTATTCATCTATCAGAATCAAAGCAGTCATTAGAGCAGAGTTTGTTCTTGGTTGGAGGGGGTTGGATATTACTGATGATCCTGTTGATTAAATCAGTTAGTTTTCTATGGAAACTAAATCAGTGCAATCTTTTCAGAGCTTTAACTCCATTTTCATTGCACTATCGAATCATAACGTGACTATAACCGGCCTTAGTTCTGACTGATATCTAAGTGTCTTGAACCTCTGGGTTTCATAATACGTCGAATCTTTCAGGAAACAAGAAAAATGCAACATTTGCTTTTTGCCGTAGTAATTTTGACCTCAAAAATGGTTTTCTTGTTAGGATAAGTTGCGAGTTAATCGTTAGCCATTCAGAACTGCATCAGTACTTAAGTGTGGAATCTCTCTAAATTCCCTGTTTTCTGCCCAAAATCTGCTTTTCTTGATATTGCCTCATTCCTAATTATTTCAGCTACGCGTTGAAAGAGATCAGCTTCAAAATGAGTGCAATCGTCTAGTTCTGCAAAAGGACAAACTGGAAACTCTTTGCCGTGAGTTACAAAAGCAAAATAAGATCATTCAGGTGAGATAAATATTTTTTGAGCACATGTATTTGATCTCTAGCCTTCCTGTGTGTATATGCGTAAAAGAATCGAAAGAGTTTTAATCTTGAGGTAACATAAGTGGAAGAGTCATTAAAAACCCAGTTTTATCATTTTATAAACTTCGGGATCAAAATTTGGCTTGATAGAGTTGAATAAGTTAAGCATTGGGTAAATGGATTATAAAATAAATATATTTGTAATAATCCCAGTGAAGTAGTTCATGACTTGAGTAGTGTATAAATTTCAATACTTCCTGGAAGAGAATAAGGACTTTTGGTTTCCACTATAAACAGACCACTTTTTGAGTATAGTGATTTTCGTTTTTCATGTTTTTGACTTCGTGACGAAACAGTCGCTCAGCAGTTTTATCGACAGTCATCTAAAAAAACATTGAATTGGTTTATGTTTGGGGACATGGTTACATATTGTTAAGGAGTCCAAAAGTAAACAACAGTCTAGCGTTCATTGGTTCCAATTCGTTCTTCGATTCATGATATTTCTCTAATGAGAATCGCAGAACTGTTCAAGGTGAAGTCGGAAGTTCTGATTTCTTGTGGATCCTACCATTGCCATATACCATTCACTTAATAACTACATGTAAACTATCTTTTTTCTTTAATCACAGGAAGAGAGCTTGTCACGCGCACGTGCAGAAGATGAGAAACGTCGTGAAGTTTCAGATCATTTTCAGACAAGTATAACAGGCATCCAAAATCAGCTGTGTGAATATCAATCTAAAAATCTAGAATTACGTAAAGAGAATCAGGATTTAGCTGAAAAGTTGGGTGAATTTATTAAACAGCATGAAAAACGTGAAGAACATGTGGACAAGGTTAGTCAACTAGTCTGGAGTAAACGTAGCCAGTAAAGTAATGATTATTTCTGGATATATTTGGTTTGTATCCTTCAGTCTATCAAATTTCACAAGAGTTCTGTAATTTTTAGTTAGTTAGAGTGTACTGGATTTCCAATGTATAATTTCTACCAGATCGTTATATAAAGTATTTTTAGCTGTTCGGATGTAAGATAGGAATCTGTCAGAAAAAATAATAAGGCAGCGAAAAGGTAAAACTAAAAAAAATATATGATATATTAAAATAAGTGGTCGATGGTAGCTCAAATACTATTGGAGGCATGCAGATGGTTGTCAGTTTTTGGCTACCTAAACTTAAAAGGTTACTTCTACTTTTTAGGCAACCAAAAAAGGATTAAAATTATCAATGGTCTTATCGATGTGGAATCGATGGGCAATTACAGAGTTTGAGGGACATCTGTTTGAGGCTGGGCATACTACATCTTTTAAGAGATGTTTAATTTATTCCTAATTATGTTTACTCATTGCATTTCTAGTTTCAGTATGGGCACCGAAATTCAGTTGAGGAAATAGACTTGTGCTATTTCTACGTTGATTTTTGTTAGGATCAGTCTTTTCTGACTTCTCTTTCCGATGGTTGGAAGGCAGTATCGCTGAAAAAGGTTGTTTTTCCTTGGAAAACTTCAACATTGTTGCACCACAAACAGTCGGTAGTAGGTTTTCACACTTGAACTTGGAATTATTCAGTAGCATCTTAATTGCGCTGTCAGGTAACAAGACTATTTCATCGGCATACTTAAGGTTGACTGCGGATTCTCGGTCGCGGAGATCTATCTTTGTGATGTCAGAAGAGAAAAGCCTAGTCTGCATAAATATGTCTGCGGTTATGTAAAAATGAAGACGGGGAACACCCCCAACAAACATAATTTAGGCTAGACACATCAGACGTGGTTCATTATGAGCCTCGTCACGCCCACAATTGTTGGAGTATAGAATATCCAGTGAGGTGGGGATAGTCTCCAAACATTTTTGTGGGAGACTGCTACAAAGCCTGTAAATCGAGTATCAGCTTCTGGTCAAGAAATGAGCCTAGTGTCGGGCATCCGAAAGTATGTTTGTGCTGCTACATCTGGGAGATGAGGAAACCTGTGTCCATGTGCAATCAAGTACAAGAGTGCCTGGCTTTATGGAGTTTTCTGTCATTAAGTTTCAGTCAGGTATCAGATAATTGTGCTATCTATATTCATTAAACTACATTATTTAATTATCATGAGGTTTCCACTGCTTCTTTGTAGATTTGGAGGATATGTGACGGAGATGTCACAGGTTGTCTCCGTTGACCCCCACAGTTTAGTTAATATCTCGGTCAGTTTAACCAATAATTCTGGGTCCATCGTCAACAAATACATGGACCTGGTGGAATTGTGGCTCATTGGTTTGGGGCACTGACTTTCAACTAGTGGATCGCCGGTTCGAGCGCCGCCCCACCTACCGAGGTTTGGGTAGCCAGGTGATATCATTAGCCGCCACGCAGTACGTGTGACTCATTGCCTACTATACGAATGTGCACGAGGTTGCTGAATAGGTCTCTACTTTCTTTCTTTTGATTTAGCTGATGGTGTCCCGTCAGGGTCCATATTTCTTTCTTCTTTTAACTTACTTCAACCTTCTCAACTGCGTCAAGAGTTGGGGTCCTCTTGTCGATTTTCTGTGGAGCCTACGGCTTTATAGTAGGTATATGATGTGTAACTGGTGACAAATAGTGCTCCTAAAAATGTACGACCCATCGTCGCAGTTGCATCTATCGGGGTTCGATTACTGACCTACTTTTCGCTGTGATTAACTCCTTATCCGCCGATTTTTCTTACCAGTCTCCTAAATAAGTTAAAGCAACTGAGTACTATTGGTAATCATCACTGTCTCTATAATTTATCGTTCGCTGCCTATCACATTTGACGGTTATACCTCAGATACTTTATCAGTCTTCATATAAGCTGCTACTACTTTAAGCACAGATAGGCTTTCCCAGCGTAAGGTTTTAGTTGCCCAACATCCAGCCTAAACCTGGATGGGATACAAATGTCAGCCCTCCAACTCTACCCGAAGGTGAGAAGGTCGTGACGGACCTAAAACGACACAAAGGAGCAGGGACTAACAGTTTGCCACGTGAAGTTTTCAAGTGTGGTTTTAGGAAATTGCTGCTTAGAGTGACGGAGGTACTAGGTAGTGTATGTGAATCAGAAGTAGTGTGGTAAGACTAGTGTACTTCACTGATCATCTCAGTTTATAAGAAGAGGGAGGAATCTTCATGTGACAACCCCATGGGGTTAGTTATTTTGACTAGTGTTGTGTCCAAGATCCTAGGACCCATGGTTAATCGATATCCAAGTGGAGCCTGAGAACAACAAACTCGAACAAACCAGGCAGGTTTCAGACCCACTGGAGAGTGCTTAGATTGTATTGTTACTCCCCGTCAGGTTCTGGAACACAGGCGTAGCTACCGGCTATTGGCCGACACTTGACCTGAAGGGGGAGGGGATATTTGATTCAGTCGACCGTGCGGTGTTGTGTCAGTGTTTGACTGTGAAAGGAGTACCGATGAGGTATATGACGCTTATCGAAGCTGTACTGGAACTCACAGAGCCTCGTTAGAGATTAAGGAGAGTTGTTATGGGAGTCGACTACAACTAGTAGTGTCGTACAGGGATGTTCACTGTCACTGTTCGTGTTTGGCTTCGTTATAGATGTACTAATGACCATTACGTTCGTTAGGTCTGAGTTTACAGGGATTGATTTAGTGCTTAAAGGTCATCTGGGTGACTTGGAGTATCCAGATAATATTTTTGTGCTGGTTGAAGATGTTGACGGAATGCGGGCTTTTGTGAATGCGTTGAGCAGAAATCTGAATATGTTTGGCATGGGTTTTTGTGGGACGTGTGAAATGTAAGATGATGCTTGAGGAGTGGCTTGCAACGACTCTCAGTTTAATGATAGGGAGTGGCGTGGTGGAATGTGTTGATCGCTTCACTCACCTGGGGAGTTGCATTGGGTGAATGGTTTCAAGGAATTCTTGGCTTCGTTGATGAATCTAGCGTGTATCGACTCACTCCATAACAAATATCTGTCTAATTGAAGGGAACTATAAGTGGTCGGGTTACTTTAAGTTCACTGGAATTTACTCGATTGATTTCCAGAGTGGATCGTTTGACGTTGCAAGGGTTTCGGACCATCAGAATATTCCAAATTGTTCTTGCTGCTTGGAAGTCGTCATTGGCCTTGTGATTACTGTGAGTTGTGTGGTAGCAAATCTAATGGTAAACTGGGAGGATCATCACTTCTACTGTGGTTATGATGTTTAGGTCTTAATCGATTTACGTGTCTTCTCCAGATTTCTGAGCCAATTTGTTCTTCGCAAAGTACTATCTGAATACTCTTACTAACTACTAATCTTTACCCTGTTAGGTTCTGACCATAACTTTGTCCCCAGGTGGGGATGTAGGTAGCATAAAGGCAAAAACAGTTCTCATTCGGCAACGAAACGTGCACTCTGCAGGAGATTTCCTGTTCGGTCTGTTGTGATTTGGAGTGCTTCTGTAATTTACAAGAAAACTGTTGTGATGGTGTTTGCCACCATTAGTAAACCAATGCCAATCCTTCTCCTTCCCCTTTCAATAGACTCCGTTTATATGTATCCACAAATGTTTCTACCTGACCATTCAGTTGTGGGTGGTTTGGTGGGAAGTGTAAGTACTGGGCTGCATTTTATCTGCAAAAAGTTGACAGTACTACTGAAGTAAGTTGTGTATCGATTTCCGTTATCATGGCTTCAGGAGAGCCGAAGCAGCTCAAAGACTAGACAGTTTGGTGATTGTAGCTTCCGGCGTGCATTTTGGCCTGTAGGAAACTCTACGCTATTTGCTATGTGCATTCACGATAATAAGGTACGTTTCACTTATCATTGGCCCGGAAGAATCAATATGGAGTATTTGCCATGGAGTTTTGGTCATCGGTCATGGGTGTGGGGGGTGTTTTGGTGGACTTCTTGCTGCTAAGGTGCAATTAAGATAGATCTGACATGTCTCTTCGATTTCTCGATTCATTCTTTACCAATATGCATAACTACATGCCAGTGACATCATTCTAGTCATACTCGGATGGCCATTGTTGAATTGGTTTAGCACATTTTGGTGAATACTCTAGGTCTACAATTCTGTCACCAAGCATGATAAGTGAATCCGCAGTTGACAGTGAGTCGCAGCGGTGATAGTATTGTTTATGATTTTGAGTGTGCTGAGATTTTGGCCACTTCATCTTGTCTCTTTCTGTAGTCGCTTTGATATTCTCAAAAGTCACTGATAAGCTAAGTAATTAATCTTCTAGGAATTTTCGAACTTCAGTTTGACTTCCACAAGTGGGATCACGTTATCTTTTTATGTGTTGATAACCGATTACTCCGGAGAGAACATCCGTTTACCTGAAACTACCTGTTGGTTTTTATAGTATGCTGGGAAGAAAACCATTGAGTGTGGTAGTCCACCCACCGTTGACGGCGTTTCGCTGTGTAAACTGGAATACCGGTTTCCGACCCAGATACTCTCAATAAGGTGAACCGTCATCCAAATATCATTTGAGAAAATTTCTTGACTGCAAGGATTATTGTTAACCTTTTTTTCCAATCTGACTGTAAATGCGGCCTGTAGATGCCAGTGAGCGGGGGGCATTAACGACAATTTTCTCAAAACCATTTGAAAAAGTTATATTACCTCACCAGTATCATAATTTGGAGCGCCAGATGCGACCACAATAATTAGTGTTGAATTGTTGTGAGTGAGGTGCAAAACTGAGGTAGGTAGACGCTCACGTTTACTGACTGCCTATTGACCGTCTGCTGACCAATTCCATTTTGCAATTTTCGTCAACCATACATTCAGAAAGCTGCAAACGCTATGAAGATCAGGTAGACACGCACTATAATGACTTGTTAGACCCAAAAATGAAGATAAAGTAAGATCTATCAGATAGTGCATACATTTTACCGCATCCTAGTGTCTTTTGTTTCCGTCTACGGTCAATCCAAGGTAGTTAACTTTTTCTACATAAAATTCACATTTATCAGTGGTCTGCACTCAAGTGTATAGTGACATTCACCTTTTCACAACAACACTCGTAGCTGCCATGATGGGAAATGCACTAGCTCAATCGTATTTATTGACGCGAGGGGTTAGAGTTCTTGATCTACGATTGGTGAGGTTGCATATGGTACTGGCGTTTTTGACCGAAACACAGGTTTAGCTGCTGAACGGAGCATGAGGATAGCTTTGAATTCTATGCATTCCCGAAGGCCATCAAAATATTGTGGCATGTCTCAGTCAAAACGCATCTGTTAGTTTCATATGAACATGTGACGACATGGTAGGTTTCAATTACTTCACGACTTGGGTCTGGTTGCACATAAGGTTTAGTGTTTTTTCGAGCGATTTCCGTTTCTCTATCCATTGTAAGCGAAGATCTAAAGGTACGCAGTCTGTTAGACACAGAACTCTATTAGATGTTACATTACCATGCTAAACATCACAATGAAAGTTCACGCTGCTGGGCGCCTGTAGCAAAGCGAGCGACGTTAGAAGCTAGGTGAACTTTGAGTTGGCCTATTTGCTGCTATGTTTGTCTGTTGGTAATTGTTATATCTGAGGTTTTGTCAAGGTGCATAACAACCTACTGTTCATTGATTCTTGTGGATATATATTTTTGTCACGAGGCTGGTCCTCTTTGTAGTGCTATTACCGCATTCGATTTGACGTTTATGTGCTCATACCTCTTGGAGTACAACTTTGGTTGATTCCGGCTTTTAGCTTTAAAGTGATCCTCTTTATCACCTCTTCGAGAAAACTTCGTACACCGGTGATAATTAAATGGATAAAATTCCACTGTGTTAGACACTACAGTGCCAATATGCTAAAGGTGGTTTAGACTTACCATTATCATCTCTTGTTCTAGTGGTAGCTACATACTTTTTGACTGATTGGTACTACTAATCATTTGTAAGTTATGCGTCAAGTTCATCAATCTCTAACACATTTGTAATTATTTAGAGCGCTATGTTGGGGCACTACTGTTCGATTCTAGCTAAAACACGAGTACGTATATCGGCATATGCGGGAGATCATAGGCTGCAGATAAAAATACGACACTCGAACTGGTCTTCTGTCATCCATGCAAGTTTAGAACTGCTCGTATTCTATATTAACAATGCAAACATGTTTGACCCGACGATCTCTTGATTCTTTTATAATATTCAAATACCAAATATCTGATTCTCAAGAAAGATGATTGCTCTTCAAATATCTGTGACAGACTTATGACTTCTATCAAAAGTAGGACCTTTGTAATTCTTTGACAGTATGAAGTCTGTGTAACGATCATGTTCTGCAGTGCCCAATTTGTTCAAAAAAATACGTACTTTTGATGCACCATTAACCAATTTAAGGTCAACAATAAATAAATCCTCATACTTTTTGAAGCATGACTCAAATGTTATGTCCGCGAGCAAATCAGAAATTAAAGCTTGACATTGACAAAACAAGCGAATCCATGTAAGACACTTAAGGTTGCACGGATACTGATGATAGTCGGATGCCCCATAGGTTTCTTTAGTCATGATTCTATCAATTGTCTGTTCATTTCTTTCCCCTTCCCATCAAAGATTGAATTTGATCAAAGAGAATACTTGTCATAATCCCTGTCACCAGTTGATATAACCTTGATTATAAATATAAGAGTGAACTCTTGAACATTAACCTTAGACCTCACTTTTGAGGGCTGCTTAAGTTTTCGAAAAACAAAAAGAAACGACTAAACGATGTAGGTTTAATTTCAGGTCGAAAAAATGTCCAGAAAATAATGGTATGTATGTACACTCAACGGCTTTGCTGTTTTTTACACTTTTCTAGAATGACGTTTAGCGAATTTGAATCACACATATGATCACGTGGTTCTCGCGAATTTTTGGCATATTGTGATTGGCTATGAAAGCTTTCAGGGAATTCTGAGCTTTGTTGAGGAATCTAGGGTGTATTGATCAACTTCCTAACATACCAAGGAAGATTGACAGTTGAGGTCCTACATATATCTGCGAATCCGGCGAGATGGAGTGTAGTTAGCTATATCTTGGCAGCTACTAGTCATCAAATAGAAAGGGCAATTTATCATCATTTACCTTCAACACCAGTCTCATCTTCAAATGTTAGTCTTACTTCATTTGATTATTTAGGTTTGTTCAGTATTCGTTGTTTATAAGCGTATTTCTGGAAAATGTATGAAATGAAAGCAGATAATTTAGGGGAGAATCGCAGACGATATTTTGATTTTATGAATTTCTTGAAATGCATTTATCAATTGAGAAGATGCTTGAAACTACATTAAGTTAGACATTTCGTGGTTTCAAGACGATATAGAGATGAGTGTATATTTCTTGGTTTTACTTCTGTTTGGATGACTGAATTTCATTCTTACTATTTAAATACTAGATCCAACAGCCACTCTTCAAATCTATAATCAACTGCTTGACCATACTTTTATCATGTGATTGTCATAGAAATTTAGTCTGTCATCTATGCTTTTCAATTTTTTGGTAAGTTTGAAAATAAAGTGAAATGTTTGTATAGCATAAATCAAGGCGACGACTAATTAACAGGTCGAAGATGGAAATGCAGCATGCTACACCTATTATTTAAAGACTAATAATACTACATGAATGCACAGACCTCGGTAGATGGGAGGAGATTCCATTGACCCATCGATTCATAGAACAATGAACTACAACTTTTAATTAACAAGTAAATATGATAGTGAAATCTTGGTTGAAAGGTAAATCGGTTGAAATACTATAGTAATAGTGACAACAGCAGATGTTTCAAATGAATGGAATCAGAAAGATATTGGAATAAACAGTATAGACATAAATATAATGACTGAACATATAAGTTTATTTATCATGAACGACTATATTTACTTTATGAATTGTCAGATCCCGTTTCACTGGTTACTCAGTTATTCCTCGGAGATGTAAACGATGAGAAATCAAGTAGACGGTTTATAACAAGGTGCAGCTTTGTACAGAAGTTTATGCTACTGGGAATAATTTAAGAGTATTCCAAAGGATTGTTATCACTGATTTGCTTGAATCCATGGGATCAGATAATTATCTCCTTGATCACGTAATTTTCTAGAGATTTCTTAATAATCTTATTCACTTTAAACGCTTCCAGTGATGATGAGTTTCTTTAGAGCTATAGGGAGTAAACGATAGCCGTCCTATTATTTATTATTTGTCCCTTGGGTTCCTAGTGAAACATAGGGTTCAGCAGCACGTCTCAATTCCATTCTGTTCTCTGCAATCTTTAGAACATGGCTTCATGACTGCCCACAAGTTCTCATTTCTTCCTCACACTATCTCCTCCATGTCACCCTCGGACACCCAACTCGCCGTTTCCCCTTTGTGCTCCACTCCAGTGCTTGGCGCATGATGTCCCTGAATGGTCTTCTCATTGCATGTCGAATCCATCTCCACTTTCTGCATATTTGTTGAGTGATAGGTTCTTGGTTGGTTCGTTGACAGCCAGCCAAAGTTCCTTGTTGCTTCTTATTATTATTCTGGCCATCTGATCTTCAGTAACGAGCTAGCGTAGGCAGTTGTTGATGAATATTTGTAGTTTGTTTAAAGTGCTTTTCGTAACTCGCCAAGTTCTGAACTATACAGAAGCAGTGACTTGACGTTGGTGTTTAAAATCCGGATTTTGTTCTTTATGCTGAGTGCTGAAGATCTCCGACAGTCGTCCTAACTTAAATAAAAATCATTAAGATGTTGTAAGTTTATAGGAAGAAGAATGAGTATATCTTTATCACTAAGATTGATTTTTGACAATTTAGCATTTTTGACCACCGGTCTGGAATATCACCAAAATATAACGGCCTGGATCTTTGGATATTGGTATCAGATCATGACCTGGTAACCGATGCTCATTTCCCAGCTTAGTCCCGCTTAGCCTAGTACTAAATTTTGTGGTAGTTCTCTGTACTTGTCAGTACTGTCTCACAGCTTTATCGATTACTTTCTTTCCGTCTTTCGCTTGGAAGTTTGTCTACTTCAATACTTTTCGCTTTGTACTTCTACAAAACACAACTGATGCATCTAAGAACAATGGGATAAATTCATATCCACTGAGTATCATCTCTACAAAGTACAAATTTGGATCAGTTATCTTAAAAGTCCGAATACCATCAAGTTTATCGGTGAAATTATTAACAACACTTCCAAATGAAAAATCGTCATATTTGGATTGTTTAATCTTGTTGTGTGGTCTGTTCAAGTCATTTTTAATGCGAAAAATTATTGTGATGAATTTTTCCTTTTCCTATAAAAATGTATGTGTCTCTGGTTCGTTTACTCAACTTTCAACCATATAATTTAATGATTCTGGTCTCTCTCCTCCTAATGAGGTTTGAAGAACCAGTTAGTATCACTAATACTGACAAAACAATTGTGAAGTATCGTCTGTAACGCATACCTGCATGTGTTTAGAAAGTCCATCATATTGTTATATCAGTCAACTTTACCTTATTTTTTTTTCATAACTAATCACTTTAGAACGATTACTTCACTATATAAACTTCGACAAAACAATAAAAAGACGTAAATCACTAATTACTTTCCCTAAAATGAGTAGTAGGATCCAAGTTGGGAGATATTCACATCATTAAAAAGTTACAAGTTGGTATTATGTTACATTGACTGCTAAAATGCGAAGATATAGTAAATTGATGTACTTATGTGTTGTAATTAAGTGTCTGCTCCTGTTTTGACTACTCACTTATACTTTCCTCGATACTATTGTCATTACCACAATTTTTATCATTCTACAATTCATATTCATAGCTTATGCAAACACGTAGCCTGGAGTTGAAATTATCCGAAGCTAAGTTAAACAAAGCTCAATGTTTACTGGATCAAGAAAAAGCAAAAGGTCAACAAAAAATTCTTCAGTTAGAAGAAGAAGTGAAATTCTTAAGGAATCGTTTAGATATTCAAAAAACAATTGAAGAAAAACTAAAAGAGCAGGTATAGTTTTTCCCTTGTTAAACTGCTTTTCCACTTTTTGTGTATTGGGTATTGTGATTAACGTTGTAAACTTACAGGGAAACTGAAAGGAACAATTCCGCTGGTAGCTTGAATTTCTACTGTATGTCCATTCACCCACTCCTTGAGAGTTCTAGGACGAAAAAGTTGAACGCGTTACAGTCTGGAAAGAAAGTAAGCTGACGAAATACAGCATTTTAAGCAGCCTAGAATGGTCTACACTTGTGAAATATAAGCTGTTGCTCCATATTGACAGTTATTACCTGAACCTTGCACTATAGTTTTAAAAAGTGAAGTGTGTCGGGTTAACTGCATCTCTGTTTGGATATCTGCATTGATTTCATCTAGATAATCTCTGAAAAGGCTGGTGATAAAATGCAAAAATTCATATGGTCACTCTTGAAATCGAGTTACATTTGTGACACTGAAGCGAGTATTAATAGGTTTGTATGACGATGGATGTACAACAGAGAATTGCACTTTTTCGATGGTGGCCGCCGGCCCTAAGGGTTCTGGGTTCGATAGCTGGCGGAGTCATGGGTGAGCACTGCTGAAGAGTCACGTACTAGGACGAAACAGATAGCCAGTGCTCCCAGGTTTTCATTGTTTCTTCAAATGATGTTGATTCATGAGGAATACCAACCTGAAACATACTATACCTTAAAAGCGTAGGTGGCCTAGTCAAAATATCAACGAATAAGAACAAAGGGTAGACCCATTAGGTGCACTCATGATTGATTTGTTGTTGCCATTCTTTTTGAGTAAGGATGCAACCATATGTATGTGGTTCTTTTATAAAGCCAATACTTTTTCGCAAACCACTAGTGGATATCCTGGTTGGCATTAGCATTTTTCACATCTAAGCAGTTCTTCAACTCTTAAACTGAAATTAACAGGTTTTTCCTCTTATAAGTGCTACTCAGCCAAGATCATGGATTGTGATCGCTGATTCAAATGGTGCAAGCTAACAAAATGACCATCTATACAATATAAGTATTAAGGAACCACCCGTCTTGTACACAAATTTCACTAGCGAGGTTACTGTGAGTGTAAGTTTCATTCGTTTGAGGTTACACTCGTCGTCAGCGGTGTATCTGGATTGACCGGATAGTCTACTAAGCCTATCGAAGATGTATAGATGGGATCAGTGTAGACGTTTAACACGTTCCAATCAGAATCAACAAGAGACCTAGCATTATTGGGTTACGGTTTAAGCTGCTACATCGCATATCAGTGCATCAAGATGCACCAAGATGAAAGGCGGAGAAACGAAGAAGATAGTCTAACTGGATAAAAATTGATAAGAGAATCAGAAAGAATCAGACAATAATGAATTTTGACATAAACAGTTTACGTTCTTTTACAACTTTAACATATTTAGGCAACAATTAGCTATGAAATTCCAATGATGCTTATGTCCCATCAGACAGCATTGTAGGTGATATCAAAATAGTTAACATGAAAGCCATAAGTTTTCACCTAACAGTTCCTTTATCTCAGTATGAGGTTCTTCAGTAATATCTATTCATGATTCATTCGAATTCATAATCTCTAGACATTCCTACCAGACCTGATGTTCCCTTGATCCTTTGATCTTGAATTTTGTCGATTGATATTTTCCAGGAAAATCATTCAATTTAATGAGATAGTAGAAAGTTTTTTGGTTTAAAATGAGGATTACAATTGTTTGGTATCGTCCGACCTTTGAAGCCTATTCTTGGACATATTATCACTAGACTAGGTGACTTGGTCAGCATTTACATTATAATAAAGTGAAGGATTTTCAAGCTGCATAATTGTCCGCAAATATCCTTCATGAACACTCATGCTTCACTTCTTTATGAAGCAAGCGCTGGTGCAGTCGCCTAGTGTAGCGATGAAACGTCCAGTAACAAACCTAAGGGCTTGATGAACACCAAACAATTAGCACTTATTTATTCTCAGAGAAATAAATGTTTTCTATTCTTAACTTAATCAACGTTACCGATTGGAGTTTGATTCCTTCTTCCAAGTACTGTGTGAATCCCGCTAAATATTACCGGTCAGACAGTCCTATGCTTAGCATCACTTCTATAATTACCAATGCTATTTTATTGGTATGACTGCTTTTCATGATGAATTTGAAGTGATTTATTTTACTTAACTTTTTTCACGCACTTCTCATGTATTCATTCATTCATCTGCTTACTATTTCACTCATTTTTCCCTATTATTACTTCGATTCGCATTGTAGATTGCATTCTATAAGGAGAAATATCAATCATTCAATAAGACAATGTCAGAAAGTCGGAAAATGTTTGATAATGCGAAGGAGGAAATGGAGAAAGTAAGTTTAACAAATATACTTACATAACCTACCTATATATATATATATATATATATATATATATATATATATATATATATATATATATATATATATATATATATATAGGTACTTCTCATAATTGGCTGATGTTTTCCAAGGTTTGAAGTTTAGTTTAAGACGTTTCGTTACCACACCGGATGACTTCATCAGCGCTGACTTCACAATTAAGTTAAACAGTTTCTTGGTGGATGAATGTTTGTTATCCAGCAAATAATACTGTATCACTAAGTCATATAGAATAATCTAATGTAATATAGAGTTCATGTAGAGTATTTGCCGACTTGAACCGTCGATGTCTAGTGGGTCGGGACGATTGTTCTCCCATTTTCTATCGTGCTGATCTGATAGAAATAAATATTGTTACCACTCAACTCATAATATTAACATGAATCCCAATTATTGTTTTATTGGGTTGATTTCCAACTGACTAATCCCTTCTTAGTGGTAAAACATTCAAAAATAAACTTCAAAGCTTGGGCCACTGTATAAACATATGACATTTAGACTTATAAGTTAAATGGTGAATTTGAATACTACGACTTCAAGTGTAATTCTCTTTTAATTCATTAGGTGAGTAACTCAAGATCAGTCAGTAATCCCTAAATGGCCTTGTTTCTACAATAAGGTTTTTAGATGATACTGATTTGTTGCTTTCCTTCCACAAGTTGAGCAAACAGTATGAACCGTTTACTCTAAGCTCTTCCATGGTGTCTACAGTGAACATGCCTTTTTTCTGAGGTTTAGTTTTATAACCCTTAAGCTTCACGTTGAACAGTTAACTGTGAAACTAGTGATTCGTAATTTCATCATCTTTAGTTAGTTCGCCGTATTTTGCGATGAATGTTTTGTATCAGTGACCGGTTGATATAAATTATGGCAAAAAAATGTTTTACTTTATGAAACTAGTAGACCAAGACTTGTCAGTTGTTAAACAGTTGTCAACACAGGGAGTTTCTACATGAGTAATCATGCTACTCTATTTACTTGCTTTTATTTACTTCATATAATTGTCAGTTTCGTATATCTTCTGTATTCTGTTTTGTTTTCTGTCAGTGTGTTTAGATGTAAAGTTAAATAACAAAGTCCAGATGCACGGGATGTACATGACCTGAAATCTACTACCGAACGACACGAGTAGTCAGAAACGACTCAGCTGATCTGTAGATATCTCTGGCCACAGTAGAATTATCTAAACACTAAACAGCTGCTTCGCTGATTTGGGGTTGAGTTCACCTGTGGTGGACTCGGAAGAATTCAGCTCAGAAAACCGAATTGGTGGTGCTGTGTTGTTTGAGTTGGATGACTTTCGTGACTCAGCAGCCTGGTGAATAACGCTTTGGCGTTTGAATCTTTGGGTGCTGTGTTCGTATCTCGTGGGAACACCATCACTTATAAGTTCAGAATAGGATGAAACTTGCGTCATTAATTCCACTGCTAGTAACCACAAAAATCATCCAACTCAGAGAACACACCACCACAAAAATCATCCACCTAAACTACAAATATTCTCTATCATTTCAGAAGCCGAATTGTTAGCATTAACTGAATCTATTTGGCTTAGATGGACCGGTATGCGCTAATCCAGATGATCATTTTGCAAACTGCTTACAAATTGCACGGTCTTTGTTGACATTTCTTACAAGGGAATAAGTTTTTCAGCTGTCCAACCATGAGGTGTCAACAGGGTTTTATTTAGAAGCAATCCAATCAAGGTGGTAAAAGTATCGTAAACTAACGACATTTACTACTAAAGAACGTCATTAGTTAGAAGCCACTCACGCTTAGACTGTTTTTAGTTCATAAGCAAATGTAAATTTGAGCTAGGAGTAGTTGCTTATATGCCAGTTTTTACAGGTGCTTCAACTGAGCTTTTCTATAAACTAACGTTGCAATCGGCTAAAGTCTTGGTATCTGGTTCAGCTTTGTAGTAATTACAAGTTTATAAAAGTCAAAGGATTTTAAAATCAGAGCGTATATATATATATATATATATATATATATATATATATATATATTTAACCATCTAATATATATTTACTGCATGTTCATTATCATTTCGGATATTCCTTTTGTTTTTATAATCCTTTTTGATGCATACATAGCTTGGAAAACGTATTCATCTAAGCGAACGTGAAGCTGTAGAATGGCAAGGTAAATGGGAGGTGAGTCAACGTAGCCTATTAGAATTAGCTGAACAGCATAAAGAAGAGAAAGTTAAATCAGCTAGTGCTAAAAAACAAGTGGAAAAACTCAGTGGATTATGTAGAGCCTTACAGAGCCAGTTGGATGAATATAGGCAACAACAAAAACAGAAACCACAGGAAGAACAAGCTCAACAAAATGAACAAATTGAGGGAAAAAAAGAAAGTCACATTCCAATGCCAAATCATACTGTAGACAATCAGCAACCAGAAATAAATCAGAAACTGAATGGTGGTACCAAAGTAAATGTGGAAGGTATGACAAGGGAAACTACAAGTTTGGTTGATGAAAAAGGTGAAGCACCTATATCATCAAATGGAAGTGAAGCTATTATTTCTTCACCTGTTTCTTCTTCTACTCATACATTTGCTTGTAAAACGAACTCTACAAATGAATCCTATACTTCAGATACTCTATCTCAGTGTACAGAAAATATGGATAATTTGAAATTGAATTCTGATAATGTTCAAAGTAAGTGCATTCGCTTCCTTTATTTTCCTGATAGAATTGATGCAGTGCAATGTAATTGTGTAGGAGTTTACTTTGTCATGCACTGTTCTGTGAGTTTTATACCCCCGCCCTCCAATTATATGGGAGAGAGTGCTGAAATGATTGACTTTTCAAACTGAAAGCGTTTAGTGTCAAAGGTTTTGGGATTGAAATTGTCTAGTAATTTTATCGGCGGCTTTTATTATATTAGACATAAGTAACCGTCTTTGAAGATCACTGCACACCTAAAGATAGTTTGTGTCAGAAATATAAAATTCCCCAACGGATAGCTCCTACTGTGACTTAGCTGTCGGGCTTACATATCACAATGGACCAACGAGCTATGCTGTTCACTCAAGGTCCCACCATTCTAGAAAGGTCTTTTGGATACTGGAAGTCGCTGTTGTAGTGCAAATTACTACACTATGATGGGGGGGGGGTGAGAATGAAGTCATACTGCTGCTTCCTGGGTGAGGTATGACAGCATTAGTGTGTTCCTCTTGGATGACCAGCTGTGTTACGCTGATGCTGCCTTCCCTGTGGGAAGTGGAGTTTAGAAAAGGTCGGCCGCAATAATATTACACTTCCCCTGCTCTATAATATTCCGGAACCAGAGGTATGAGTTTTCTCTGTCCGGTGTTCTAACAACCAAACCTTGAAACAACATCTCACAAATGACCGTGTGTGATAGGCCTCCCATAGGCTCTGTGGTGGTACAAGTCCTTTTTGTCTTTCAGGCACCTTAAGAAGAAATAACCTTCCACGGTGTGAGCAGCGGTGAATTGTCAACCACGCCCACGCTTCCAGTTGTACACGAGACCAAATCAAACATAACCTGTCCGCCTCAAATCGGTTTCCTCCTTTGCCTTCAGCTCATGATGTTAATATTAAGTCTCCTACGCCTTCTGTAACCTCTCACTCTGCGGCCATTGCGAACGATGAAAGTCACAGAAACCTCATTCCTAGTCTCCTAAGATCCTGCCATTGATTTCATGTATGAGGTTTCAACTTGTGAACTCCATGCGAAACCGGACGGCAAGCATCGCTCGTCAGAACTGTAGAATCACTAGTCATGGATGTATGCTGTGTCTCTAAGACGCTGTATACGGGAATCGAGTGTGATTATTAAATCGACCACTTGGCCACTTGACCATAGTAGTGAATCTTCGAAATTCACCTTCTGAGTATCCGTAAACTCAATGGCTAGCTGTTGTGGACTCGCTGGCGTAGGGAAACGATTGGGTTGTGTAGCAGAAAGTGGGCTTCTTGTTTAGATAGCAGTCGACAGCTGTTTATGTTGTTCGACTGAATGCATGTATTAGGAGTAGGAAGGATCGTGAGACTAAGTGATACCCATTTGTAATCTCTGCTTACGCACCCACCGACTGTAGCTCGGATGATGCGAAGGATGAATTCTAAGAGAAGCTGTCAATTTTGCTACAGGAAGCTAGTCGTTGAGATGTATTCATAATTACAGGTGGCTTTAACGCACAAGTAAGGAAGCTGGAAAGATAGAGATGTTGGTGGTATTTACGGAATCGGATGCCAACGAACTGACAACGATGGTTGTCTGTTGCAATTTTGTTGCGACAATCGTTTTTTGCTGGTCATTACTAACTCTGGGCATAAGGAGAGAGACTGTCTCGTATGGGATGCTCCTACTTCTAACCGACGATTGACACAAACATCAGATTGCGATAAACGTACTCATCGAGTGGTGTCCATCAAGGGTGCCCACTCTCTCCATTCTTATTCACTTTTATCATAGGTATTCTTATGCATGTTTCCCTGTCGTCGCCTGATTACACAGACGTTGACCTAATCGGTGTAGAATTTTCGTTAGACCTAGAATATGCAGATGACATAGTCTTGTTAGGTGAAGACGCTGACAAGATGCGGAGTCTTCTGAACACTTTGGGTAGCAATTTGAGAATGTTTGGTATGCGTTTCTCACCATCCAAATGCAAATTGTTACTCTAGAGTTAGTCTTCAACTCCCACGCATTTCAGTAGCTTCATGGCGCTCAGGACTTCGACTTTTGTTGGAGGATTTATGTTCACTGGTAGTTCTGTGGCTGCAGGTGGTGTATCTGGATGAGTTGCAGTTGGTAGTGGTGGTCGATTCAAGAGCTTTTTGAAGTGTTCAGCCCATCGTTTCCTTTGTTTCTCTTCCTTGGTAACTGAGTTTTCATTGGTTTCATCTGTTGATCTCTCCTCTCCCGGATAGTAACCTGGTTATTTGGTATAATGTTGTCAGGTCTCTGTTACCTGTAGCTTGTCCTTCTTCACCTTCCAGTATGTCGCAGAAGTGTGTTTTGTCATGGCGCCCACTCTTCTTCACTTCTTTCTCCAGTGTTTTATAGATTGCACTCAGTTCCTCTTCTCGTCGTTCATCCTTGCACTGGTTTATCTTCTGCTTCATCATCCTCCTCCCCCTCCTCTACCAGCTCCCATGTGTCCATCGAGATCCATTGCTTATCTTCTTTCTTCTTCCTTCCTAATACGGTTGTGCAGGTTTCCTTCCACATAGCTTTCAAAGAGTTCCAGTGCTCATCCACACAGGTTTCTTCAGGGGATGTTCCTCGATATCACCCATTTAGTCTTGATGGCTGCCGTGAAGATTTTCTCTGTAGTTTCGTCCTTCAGTTTCTGTTGTGGGTGTTGAACTTGAACTGTGGTCTATCACCAACTTCCTTGAAGGCTTTCAAGTTGATTTGAAGGTCCCTTGCAATAGATGGTGAGTGGTGCGAACTTACATCTGCTCCCCTTCCTCATCTGATCTTGTGTACAGTAAGCTGCGTCTCCACTTTCTTGATATTGAGATGAAGCCGATCTGATTTTCAGTGTGTACTGGTGTCTGGTGAAACCCATGTCGTTTTGTGGATATCCTTGTGCTTGAACACAGTGCCTCCAATCACCAAGTCGTTGAATGCGCAGAAATCTGCAAACAACTCTCCATTCTCGTTCATTTCGCCGAGCGCCTCTCGACCCGTGATCAGTTTTCTTCCTGTGTTGTCCGACCCCAGTTTGACATTCGTATCGCTCACTAGAATTTTGATATCGCCAGCTGAGGTGTGGTCTTGTCCAGTGTTGATTGAAGTTGTCTGTAGAATTCCTCCTTTTTCTCTTGTCCTCATCTGCACTATTTGTAGGTGCGTAGCGTAGCATTGTATGATTGTGACTTTCCTTCCTTTTGAGTTGAGCCTTGCTGTCATGATTCTGCAGGAGGAGATTGGTTCCCACTGCATGAGAGAGAGCGTTCGATGCTGTTGGAACATCATGATGGCCACTCGAAAACTCAATGTGCTGATGGTTGTCGTCTGGGTGACAATATCGGAGTAGATTATTGATTCTTCAGTTGACAGTTTGGAGAGTCGACTTCCATTGCATCTGCTTTCGCGAATTCCCAGCACTTCCATGTGATATCTTCTCATCTCGTTTGCAATGTGGGCAGCCTTGCTAGGTTCAAACAGGGTACGGACATTCCATGTCCCCATTCTTACTTTTGCCTTCATTGAGGGAGAGAAGACACAGCGGCAAATTTACGTCCTGAAGGCTTTCACCAACTGGCGTCATTTCGCCTCTCCGATTCCTGTGAGGAATAATATTGTTTTTATTTTTTATTTTGTTTGTGGTTTGAAGTTTCGTTAGTGGTTGGGTTTGTTTTACGGGGTAGGGTTGCTAGACCTACTTCCAACCTTCCCTCTTTACCGGTACTTAGGACCAGCTAGCAACTAGTGAACTAGTTAACCAAGTGAGGTTTTTGGAATTCTATCGTGCGCTAACTTTGACTCGTGTATGTCTGCGCGTTACTGTTTGTAGGAAACGCGATAATATGGCCTGTCTATGGTGGGTGGGAAGATAAGAACGTGAAGTATGCATTTCGAAAGGAGATAGTTAAGCATTGATCTGAAGATGACAGCAATACTTGTGTTAAGGAGATCTGGTGTGATATAAATTATGCTAAAGAAACTGGTGAATACAGCTGGTTACATACACCTAAAGGTTAGCGAACGTCATTGGATTTCTGAGAAATCATCCAACCTGGTTGATGCGCGAAGACTGATTGCAGCTGTCTCTGACGACACTGAAGAGAGTGAAAGGAACTTCAAGGTAAGTTGAACAAGAGTCTTTGCATCGATCATGAGGAGTGGTGGATGATGAAAGATAAGGGAGATGGAGCAGACATCGGTGTTGTGTAAGACTCGATAACTATTTAGGCTTATTAAGAATCCTGTAAAGAAGATGATGAGGAATGTTAGTAAAGCCATCAGTGAGTAGGATGGGACGTTGATAACCCCCGCCATTCGTTTCGTCTCGGTGACCCGAAGTAGCCAGTCTACACCTCCCCACGCGAATTATACCAACAGTAAGAGACTATATCAACTCGGCTCACGTCTTGGTCTGGCAACTCTGAACACTTTTTCAACCTAATGCAACTATCCTTACTTCGCTCGTCAAGGTAGACGGTGAATCAGCATCTGCTGTTTATGTCCAAGCCATCTCAATCCACTTAAGTTTACAAACGCATCAGTCAACTTGCCTCTCTTCCTTACTACCCTTCACCTGACTGACCTCAATATTCCTCATACGGTGATTCCACCAAACGCGAGCAATGCTGCGAAAACATTTCAGATCAAACCACGGTAGCCATTTCATGTCTTCTATTTTCAACGGTTATTTGTATAATTTCTAACAACTTACATTGCAACTATCAAGTAGGCTGATCAACCTAGGATCTTCAGGACGGAAATGCTTGTTAAGCCCCATATGCTTCACTACAACGTGCACACACACAATGACACACATACACATACTTTATTTGAGTGTTATCTTTTGTTTGGTAATCTTAAATAAATTACCAGCAAGTTAAGGATTTGGATTGCTGTCATCAATTGGTGGATCATTGTTATTCTGTGGTCCACTATACTGTTGTTGCATCCTTATTTATAACTTTATTGGTAGCGCTCTAGTGGTATGTTGTAACTATCTTTTAATTTTCCTAATTTTTATTTCGCATCAGAGATTTTATACTGTCCTACTTCTTCTGAAATAGATTATTTGTGCCTGGCTGACTCATATTCAATTTGATGATACTGTCAGCTTGACTGGTTCTCATTAGGTTGTATTACAAGCTTTATATCAGTTGAGTAATATGACCGTGTAGAATCTTGCAAGGAAATGAACCAATTCAAGTTACTGCACGTTATGGGAGTGGAACAAACGGAAGTAGACGAAATTTTGAATGAGTCGCAACGGGTGTGAGAAAAGAAAAGAATCAATACATAAGGGTTGATAAGTTGTCAAAATTTTTATCGATGATAAGTAGTGAATACGCTAACGCTACAGTGTGATCAACTTTGAGTTATATCACTTAAACTCCTCAAACATTGATTCCTAACATGCTAACAATGTTAGCCAATCAGGTAGCTTACAATTCCCTTTATACCTCAGATGGATAGTTTTCAACTTCATGGAGCGGCATTATATTTTGATCTGGTCACCGTTAGTTCGTATTTAATTTAACCGTCTACATCATTTAGGCGTTTATAATTTTCATCTGATTACTGAATTTCTATAAGTCAAACTTTTCAGTGCAATTTTTAATTACCATCATGTATCTCATGTTTATGCTTTTTTCCTTCATTTTTCTTTCAGTCAACTCAAATTTTGAAGTACACCCACTGAATACTTCTGGAGATATTTCTAGTAATCAAAAATGATTTCTATACCCTAATTATCAAGTTACTTTGTTACAAATACCAATGACTAGTAATAATAGTATAGCCTTGTGTAAAACAAATACTTTCTCTTAAAGTACATCTCCCTGTGGCTGCATGTGTTCCTATGAGACCTAAAGTGTAGTTTTCCCCTAAGAATCCTTTTTTTTATGCGCTTTTGTTATTTTTTGGGTGACTATTCAGTCTTCCGAGTTTCGCAACTTGTGCAGTTGATCTCCTTCGTCAATTGGCTGCTCCCACTGCCCTCCTTCAAGTTTTTATAGCTCTATGTGAAACGAGAAGATTAAAAGGACAATAAGACAGTCACTGAGAAAGTTAGGCTCACCTCTTTTTTTGCTGCTGATTTCTATCAAATTCATTCGTATATTCTGTGCCTTAAAAGTCCAGTCCAGTCATTGTTCATAAGATGAACAGCGTTATTGTGCAGCGTTATGTGATATGAAGCACATATATCAATTTTCTTTTGCATTTTTCTTATCCTTCTTTTTGTCTAAAGATGTAACTAATGCGTATAATATGAAGTTTCCACTACCTGCTGACAGCAGTATTCACTTATGTTTCGTCTCCGAGACCACCAATATCATCATTATTATGATCACTATATATTGCGTATTCTCTCTTGGTCTACATTCTTAATTATTACACTTTAGGCTGTTTTCAATGATGTGCGTGTGTTTGTGTTGATTGTCTGTGCTAATGGCAGTTGTACGGGTTATAGTTTGATCGCTTTTCCTTCTCTTATTTCAGTGATAATTATACTTGTGTTTATTATTGCTAAATCTTTCATATTTATGTAGATTGCATATAAATTGTTATATAGTATTTTTTGTGTTTGTGAATAATTTTGGCCAACCTTTATTGTTAACTTTACTGAACGGGACTGGTCAGGTCCGGTTGTAACGTATGGTTTCCTTGTAAAAACTTCTGCGTGTTGCTCTGAGGTTTTTTTGACATTAGTGGTATAGTGGTGGGATCCAAAATGCGTATGTACAACATATTAAGCAAACAAATTGGCCATAATATAGACAAGAATGAAGAAAGTTGATAAGGGCTAAACAACTGCAAATTTATTACGAATTTGTGAGATGATGTGTTTTGAGTCTGGTGGTTATTTTGAATTTGAGGTAGTATTCATCATGGACTGATATCAGTTGGGGCACCATTGGAAAGCTGGGGACACTGGATAGCTGTCTGGCGCCAGTTTGGGACTTCTCAGCAGTAGGCACCAACAACCCGACCAGGGGTTGAACTCAGTACCTTCAGGTTCCTCGGTGAATGCATTTGGGACTCAGTTACTGGATTTGGATTCAACGGTCCACAGTTTCCCGCTTCTGTTAATTCGCGATATAGCGCCACTATCACCTGAGGTCTTTGCTTGGCATTCGCTCCACTTTGACAGTGAGCAGGCGATTCTGCAAGTCACAGCGAGTTGTGAGAAGTGCATAGACGCTATATTCAATGGATCATTACAACAAGCTGATATCTTAGACTGTGAACGTGACACCTACCATAGCGCAACTGACTCTCCTCTTCCATTGAATTGATTAGGTAGGTAACTCTCTGCATAGGTAGAAGTACTACAGTTTGATGTGTCAGTAATAAATTTTCGACTTACCTTGCATCAGTCTGATCCTTTCCCACTCAAAATTTTCAATTTCTAATTTCAGTTTTTCTGAAATAGCACAGAATCAATGAAGAACACTTCAGCAGATGTTTTGGCTTATCAGGATTCGAAATTATGTTACTTGTGGATATGATTGATACTTTTATGATTGCCTGTACAACCAGAATCATTCTGACATTAACCAGAGAATCAGTCTTTCTAAGTATAGAGGGTTGATTCGAGTACTTGAAACATGTTATGCTTTCCACACATATAGTTCCTCATCATAAGTGCATGAATTATGAGATATCAAAGAGAAATATATGCAGCTTGACATGTGCCCAGTTTCGGTTCCGTCTTACTATCTGCCTGGTTCAACAGCCCTCAAACACAAATTGCCTTACGCTCATTGCAATACAAATGGGTGGTGTGAATCTGGATGGTAACTTTTCAGTGTGCTTATATTGTCTTGTTGCATTTATCAGGAGATTAAAATGTTCACATTGGATGCGGATTAGTTGGATAGCATTTGAATTGCAACAGCTGTAGTTTACCTGCCACTGAAGCTGACACCAACTGTCAGACAACTTCTCACCGATCACACCAATGTATAGCGATATAGTTTAGCGTCATGCAATACTGGAACAATTTCAAGAAGTGTTTTGTAAAGGTTATCTAAAACTTTCTGAAAATTATGATGCGATGACATCTGATCAAAAGAATGTCTATTGACAATCCATGTGTTTCCGTTCACACACCAACATCCACTACACAGATTCCCTATTACACTACCAGTAGACGTGAAACATATCTCTAGTTAAGTTGCACATTCACCTCAATGCTGTGTATACGTTTGATAGAAGAGTGGATAATGCACACAACTACATGCTTACCGATATCCTCATTGAAAGTAGTTAGCGATGCATTCATGTGCTGCTCTGCCGAGTGTCTTTCATCGCTTGCTGAAAACCAATTACATTTGAACATTCATTTCACACCAAAATAATTCATGCAATGTACCGAACAAAATTATCTACATCAAATCTCTTTGAACTGCTAAACACACATGTATGCACAGTGATAGTGGATCTCAATGTGCATCTATCAGTCCACAAGATAACTGCTCAAAATCGTCAACAGTGTTCGTGAGTTATTCGAAGAAGGTGAAGAGATGAACATCAACGAGTTTTTATGGAAGGTACTTTTCAACAGCAGCTATTTTACAACATGACTTTGCATATGCATTATAACCCTTTCTTTTATCCATTGCTGATTGTTCTGTCTCGCATCAGTCAGAAGTGACTTTCGTTTATCTCTGAGAAATGGTCTTCAGTTCAGGTCTGAAAGGCTTTATCGAGTAGATGGAAGGTGTTATGAGTTGATCTTCCATCATCAGTCGTCATCACTGCATATATTCTGTGGTGTTTCTCAGATGGAGTAAGGTATCTCAATATTCTTTTCAAGATAATCTTGGTTAGTGAATATGAATCGTGGTAGTTCTGCCTGGATTGCTGCAAGGTATGTATGTCACTAAGATTTTAGATGTCATGGCAGCATTTACTGTCATTCCGCTTTGAAAAGCAGAGAAACTCGCTAAGTTGATATATTGCAACTTACATTCGGACTTCTCATATCCAACCGTCTTTTGAATGAAGTCCAAACAATCTCTCTCGATATTACCTGAAAAACGGGAAGTCGTATACATAGAGTATATAAAGCGTTGAATACAGTGTTAGGCCTTGACTATCGCGTGTAACGATTCCAGAGAAATCCGAACTGACCGACTGTCGTTGTATATGTTGATAAGACTGAGGAAGCGCTTCACAGCGTAATGGATTGCAGCCGACGTCAGCGGTAATCAACTTATGCTGTTGGTGTAGTGTAAGCTTGTTTCCACTGAATCGTGATATCCTAGTATTGATAAATTTGGCAAAGCATGGATATCTGATGTTCTGTCTACACTTATAGTGTAAATCAAAGTCATTTTAGTGCATGCTCCTCAGAGTCAATTCGCATACTGTCTCGATGCGATTGTGTAGTAGGTGAAGCGATGAAGTATCACTGTCTAAAAACTATTTTCACTCGGATATCGTTGGCAAATTGATTTATTGCGTCAGTGAGTGAGTGAGTGTGAGCGAGTAGGTGACTGAGTGAGTCAGTGAGTTGATCAATGCAACATTGAGGTATATCGCCTTCCTATAAAATTTGTTCCTGGCGCTGAGAACATTTCGAATATAAGTGAATTTGTTTCATACCTGTAGACAATCTTTCAAGTGTACCATTCAAGTGAAGCCAAGTTATCGTTTTGTCGAAACACGATCACGTAGTTGCCTTTCTGATCAAACAACCTCATGGTGTGGGCTATTCGTAAAATGAAATCCACTCGATGTTGATGTGGAGAGGTGGTCAAAGTAGAAAGTGAGGGCATGTTCACTTTTGTACTACAAAATCTCTCCAATCCAAGTGGTTCGAAACTATTCAGTCGAAAGAAAATGAAGTAGTCGAGTGCCTTAAAATGTGACTGTGAACTAATTTCGATGTCACACAATCGCTTCAACCGGAATTCGGATTTCTCAGGCACCAGTTTCCAGCTTCAAAAGATAAATACACGTTGATGTGGAAGACACCGAACCACCATATATTCCATTGTAATGAATAATATTGAAAGTATTTAGTCAATCAGTGCAGTACAATTGCATCTTCAAGATTTCCATGTATGCAACAGTGTGCACATCGATAAGTGAGGTAAATCTCATGAGCGATTCACGAATAATAAGTCACCATACAACACTTACGAACTAATTTGGTCAAATTCATCTGCATGTTTTTGACCTCGTCTTTCATCAGTTTTTATTGATTTGATCTACGAGGTAGTAAACGAATTTGATAGACTTCATATTTGTTATGTAGAAATTGAAAGTAATCATTTGGAGGAATTTCAAATACGTTAAGACTGTTCGTTGGGAAATTGGTGAATATTTATAGACAATATATTTGGCTAGTGACTTTTTGTTTGTGGAACACATCCTTCTGACTGCAATCAAGTACAATGCGGTTAACGTCACTTTCGGGGTTGAAACATTTGGTTGTGAGGTTAGAGACACTAGCACTTATACTAAGGTGTTCATTCGTGACGCACGTTTGGATTTCTTTGAGGAATATGAGTGCCGTCAAGCTTTCAGTATCAACAAAGATGAGGCATCGATGGATCTCAACATTCGGATAGTCGACTCTCATTAGTTGTACACTGAATGAGTGCTCTGCCTTGCTGTGTCTCAGCGAATGGTCCGCACGTCTCACTTAATTGACCAAGTTTATCATGCAATCGGATTGCTGTAGCCAGACCAATGACAATCAGTCGACTAGTGGATATCGTTTCGACCATGGATGTTAGATACAAATCTGAGAGATAACAAGATGAACAACAGGAATCCAGATGCACCCAATTGACCAGCACCCCACAGGTTGAAATGCGCGTCCTCGATTTCGCTGCTATTCACCACTGAAAGAAAATCATTGGAGTGGAAATCGGGATAATATATTCATGATCCACAGAAAGAGCACATATGTCAACAGACATAGATGGATTCACTCCGATAGAGTAAACAATAGGCAGTCGCATTTCTACACAAGTAAACTTCAGTAGGCATTTTAGTACGCTGAAGTTTACCTTGTTTTCCTGACTGTCCATGATCAAAGTTCTCAAGGAGATTGTTAACTTTATTGTGAATATGAAGTCTTGCTTTTTTCTCGAAGATCTTCATCTCGATTGTTTTGTTTTGGCAGCAGTCTTGACAATTGCGGTTAATATTCACTGTGCTTTGAAAATCTGTGCAATTTCATCCATGCATTCACGACAAGATTTCAAAAGTCGTGTTATTACTTCAAGGCGAAATACGAACAAATCTAGTCATTCATTAGAACGAGCACTCTTCATTCTGGAGGACGGGAATAAATCTGCTGACCACCAATACAAATCTTTGAAATTCACACTACACAAAGGATTCAAATTCATGTGAATATTGATGTATAGCCCTGAGCAATGAGCACGTGTCTAAAAGAGCCATAACATGGTGAGAAAATGGGTGACCATAAAGTGAATTTTGGTCAGCAATTAAAAGAGTGTGAACTGAGCACTCAAATCAACAATCAGACTTCGTTCCTTGTCATCAGTTAACTGGAAAGGACTGTTCACCGTTAATCCACGGATACTTCACTGCTAGTAAGTATTGCTGGAGTTCAAGTATTCTGAACGGTAAAGATGAGATAGGTGTCTTTATCGGACGAGGAGACTCACCAACATTATCAGGATCTTCCGGAGCCTTTTCCTCAGC